ATTACTTCCCACCTTTTGTTTTTATGTCTTGGAGATCTTGTGTTGTTGTTGCATGCTTTCAAGTCATTTCTGACCTATGGTGACCCTAAGACAAATGTATCACAGGGTTTTCTCTGGCTGAGAGAGTGTGATTTGTCACCAAGTAGATTTTCCATGGCTGAGCACAGATTCAAACCTTGATCTCCAGGGTCATAATCCAATGTTCAAACCATTGCACCTTTCTGCAGACACAGTAAAAATGATGTTCCTTATATAAAATTGCAAAATTGCAAAATCAATGTGTAATGATATTATTTTGGATAATTTCAAGCTGTAGATGCTTCAATCTATTGATAAAGAATCCATCAATACAGAGGGCTAGCTGTATTAGCAAGGAACAAGAAATGTTTTCTTGGCATCTAGTATGTAAATTTGGTGTAAAAGCTTTCAGTTTCCACAGAGATCTTTTCCCTACAGATAGAGGATAAAACATCAGGGGGAAGATTTAATATATCATAAATTTAGAGCAACAACATGAAATTGCACCAAGATGAAGTTAATGGTCTGGGAATATTTAGTGCATTTTTGAGGGTACAGGGGACTGGACTTGCTCTTGCTCAAGAGGAGAAAACACAGTTTGCTTTTTCAAAGGAAAAATGAGCTAGGATTATAATAAATGATAACAACAATTGTCTGATTCCTCCCACTTATGCCTGCTCCCATCTTTAAATAATTTTTCTTCTTCTTATGCATTACCCTGCACCTTTTATGTCATTACAGATCCAAAAAAAAAAAAAAATGCAAGTCAGTTGTTTTAGGAAGATCCAAAAATGTAAATGGACTTCTTTGATCAGCACATTATTTGCAAATGCATGTATTAGACAGTTACATATGTGCAGAATTGCATTTGGCCTCAATTTCCTCTCTGAAAACATTGCCTAAGATTATCAGCCAGCTGGAAATAAAAAGATGGGATGAAAATACACTTGTCCCTTTACATTTGTGGCTTTGACTTTTGCAGATTTGATTATTCATGGAATTTATTAATATGTTCCCTCTAGGAATATCTAGGTCCTCCAGTACAACTCTATGGTCAGCTTTAACCAAAAGTCGCACTGAAGGACCTGGAGGTTCCTAGAGAAAAGACTCCATTAGGCATTTGTGGCTCCTCCAGCACATTTCTGTAGTCAATGTCTGGCAGATGTTGACCACAGAGTTGCACTGGAGGACCGAGAGGTTCCTAAAGAGATGTTCTCTCAGGTAAAAACATAGTGTTTTGGTTATTTATGGTTTTTCTACATTCATGAGGGTACTGTGCCCCCAACCCAAGCAAATGTGGGGGAAAGAGTGTACTTTTGTTGTTGTTGTTGTTGTTGTTGTTGTTGGAGGAGGAAAATTTTAGTTATAATCACAGACAACTGTTTATGAAGAGGATATGGCCATAAATGTCTCACCAAGGGAAAAGGTCCATATCTCATTGGTAGAACACCATCTTGAAATGCTATACAACCTCTTTCAGTAGAGTAGATAATGCTAGGTTTGGCGAACAAATCATCTGATCCAGTATGCAGCAACTTGATGTTTTTCTGATAGGCATCTCTCTGTGTATGTATATATATGTGACCATTTGTATCCAAAGATGCACACAATGAGGTTCAATGAGTATTGTACATGGCACACAGGCCACACTTTTGTGGCTATAGAAGCCTCCCCCCAGCAGCCCAACCCTCATTATTTTTTAATCAAAATAGGCATCGTTTTTGAAATTTCTCCCAAATTTCTGGACCTATTTTGGAAGTAGGTGGTGTGATAATGTTCACACTAAAACCTAGAGCAGATTCAGTGCCTTCCACTGACCTTGGAGCCATCAGCTATCACTGTTCCATGGAATGGTGATGGGAAAGACACATTGCCCCTGGGGAAAAAGCATAACGTCATCCTGAAATAGCATGCAATGCCATTAGAAAGTTATATTATTAACAAGTGTCTTGAAGTGGGATTGATGGAAAGAACAGTGAATCAATGCACATTCCCCAAAGTAATTTTTAATGTTTTGTCACAGTAAAGTAAGCTATTTTTTTTAATTTTTTTTGCCATTATAAATCAAGTGGCAATTAAACAACCTTACAGTGTGATTGCCTGTTTCTATCATTCACTTTTATCATGCCCATATCCAGGCCCTGAAGATTTATTGAGCAGTGGAAAAAATTCATTTTGCTCTACCCAATTGTAGCAGTCGTTTGTGGAAGTCAAAACGTCTGCAGTTCGGTCCAAAGATGCACAAATGGTCTTCTCATAATCAAGTCTTCCAGTAGCTGCCAAAATGAGGTTCCAAAGATTTGGAAGAAATGGTACCAAGAAAGCCTCATGATGGGGCTACCATAAGTTTGAGATGACTTGTTTGCACATGTCAACAGCAACAACAACATTTAACCAGCTTGATAAGTCACATGTACACTTAATAATCTTAATAACTATGGGTCAATGCATTCAGAGGAAAGGAGGTGGTGGTGGATTCACTGCCATTTTCACAGCTGCCATGTTTTTGAGACTGATATTGAAAGATGCTGACCATGACGATATATAATACAACCTCTTAGCTTTGTATTTCTTATGAAACTGTTTGAGCAGTAGGAAAAGTGGGGGGGGGGGCAGGAGGTTTGGGAGAAAGGAATAGGCTAAGGAAATTGAAAAATTTAAGGACATGCCTCAGGGCTTCATTGTTTTTCTTCAGTGGTAGCAATTGATCAATACCATGCTTACTATGTGTAGAACATGCTTTGAACTTCAAGATGCAAGCATATATGTAATTTCCCAGGTTACTTCCTGGTTGAGCTATCTGAAGTGAAATCTAACAGGTACCTTAACTCCGAAATGCACATTGTCGGAGCGAGCAAATTGATCAGCTGAATTCTGAAGGAGGGGAAATATACTGTTATCGGGCAGGGGATTATTTGCTAGGAAAGCTGGAATTTATGTACCCAAATGAATATGATTGAGCTTCTGAAGAAAAAGTTCATTCAATTAACAACCCAGTTTGCAAATAACTTTCTCCCACTTTTATATTACCTCTGGAAATATTATGTATTTATCGCAAAGCCCCCCCCCCAAAAAAAAATATATGAAAGTAAGCTTTTTTTTTCCCTATGTACAGAGAAAATTGAATTTATTTTAGAAGACAGGAGATGCAGGATGGGAACAAATGTATTACTTACACTGCCATTGGCATTATTTAACTTAGTCACTGTGTTTCAGTGGAAATGGCATTAATTGTGTTGATGTGCTGGGTGGAGCAAAATGAATAGAATGCACACAGTGCAAAAAGAAAACACAATGGTGCTGGTATTACAAACCAAGCTGAAATGGATACCTGAAAGTTACATTTGATTCAGTGGCAGCTGGTGGCTTCCATGTCAGGAGTGCAATGAATTTTCTCTGGGTATTATTTCAGATTTTAAAGGTGTTATCCAGGATACTGAACTCTATCCCCACAATAGGTTCAGAACCTTGGCAAGTTCCTTTAAAATCTAAAATAAAAGCCAGTGCCCCCACTCACAGAAACATAAAGTACTTGTGGCTCCCAATTATCTTAATCAGTGTTCAGCACTCCACAATCCATTTTTTAAATACAAACTCCTGTTGTGTGCTAAAACAAACTGTTATAGCTTTATGGGTAGTGAGTTCCTTCAAAATGCTTCTGCAGTTTGCAGAAAAGAGAAGAAATGGATTGCCCTCTCCCTTGCAGAAATGTTGTGTCTTGTGCAATTTTTTTTCATTAATCTTGTTACTAAACTAAACCCATTTCCCTGTGGAAATTAATTACCAGGGTTGTATCGGGAATTTTAATTTTCATAATACGCCAGCAAAGATATATGGCTGTTTCTTTATATATGATCACCACACAACAGAGCAATAATCTTTTGTAATGAGCTTTATTACAACAAACGGAAGAGGACGACATTTAATTAAAGCCAGTATAACACATTCGGAGAAGTCATTCTTTTGAGTTCTGATTTGCCTTCCAAACACAGGCCAGATTCAATTGTCGAATTCTGAAGATTCAGTGGCATGCTGAAAAGGATTGTTGGCCTGTGTGTTGATTGTGACATCTTGGCTGAATCTTTATTGTATGCCTATGAGCTGAGTCCACTTCCACATAAGCTTGCTCTTCTGTTTCACGTATGATGTCAAATATATGCATCCTAACCTTGCACCAGATGCAACATTGGGTTCAACTCAAGAACATGGAAGTTGGTGAAACTCATAACCTCAGCAGGCATACCACATTTTTTTAATCCCACCACGGATATGTTTATATCACAGAGAAGAATGAAAAGGGAGTCCTATAGGGCATATTGCCAAGCAATCTAGTCCATCTGCCTATTCAGTCATGAGCTTAACAGACATATCCTCCACAACAATTGACTGCACAGTTTCTACTAGCAAGGGAGCACCCACAAGGTTTCTACTAATGTTCAGAAAAAATCTACCATATATAACCTAAGTCCATTAGATATAGGTCCATCTGCAATGGGGAAATAATGCAGTTTGACATGACTTTAAGTATTGTGGTGCCATCCTATGGAATCCTGGAATTTATGATTTCACAAAGTCTGAGTCTTCTCTACTGAAGAGTGCTGATGCCTCACAAAATTACAAATCCCAGGATAATTCTGTCTTTCACCAGCTTCCACTTTTCATATGATTTTCATTTTGGTGGATTTGTAGCTTTATGTTTATGTTTTTTTACTGTGCTGGGACTAGATAATGAGGCAGACAAATTCATTTTTTAATAGAAGTTTCTATACTCCACATAATCTTGATATTCAGATTGTGTTGACAGTGTGGATTTTTAAAGAAAAAAAATAAATACAGAGCTGTAAATGCATTTACAGGCATCAGTATTATACTGTACTATACACTTGTACTATCCTGCCTTTATTGCTGTTGTGTGCCTTCAAGTTATTTTCAACTTAGGCGACCCTAAGGTGAACCTTGGCAAGTTCACCCAGTGGGTTTCATGGCCAAGCTGGGAATTGAACCCTGGTCTCCAGAGTCATAGTCCAACACATACCACTACACTATACTGGCTCTATCCTGCCTACCATCAACAAAACAACAACAAACCTCAGTTAAAAAGAAGATTTTATTTTTATCAAAGCTTTGACGAAATGGTTAAAAATGAAATCGATCTAAGACTGTAAAACTATATATGCATTTGGGGATTATTTTTGTTTCAGGTTTGCAGTAACTTGAAGAAAGTCTTAAAACAAGAGCGAGAACCATGCAGTTCACTGATTAAATTGTATGCATCCATTTGTCTCCACTGAGTGTCAAAAAGCCAAGACTGTGTGTCTGTTTGGACAGACAGCTATTACTTAAAATGCTTTGATTGCCAGTTGCCAAGTAGCTTAAAGTGGGATAACAGAAGGGAATATATATATATATATATATATATATATATATATATATATATATATAGGCAATCACTGTGAGATAAAATAGCAGAAGCAGCATTAACACAAAACCATAGGCATTCAGCAGAATTGATTTAAAAAAATACAAGTAAACGCAAGAAAGATCAAACTACATATTAAAATGTCCAGACAACTAAAAAGCAGTGGCAGATAGTGTCTTTCATGTCAATGGGGCAACTCCAGGTTTTATTCTGAATTTTAAAAGAAGTATGTCCTGAACTAATTTGGGAGAGAAAGTTTTGGACAGTTGCTCAGATAATTAATAATAATAATAATAATAATAATAATAATAATAATAAATTTTATTTATATCCCGCCTCTCTGCATAGCAATCAATAGGTCTGAACTAAAACCTGGAGCAGATTCACCATCCCACTAACATGGAAGCCATCAGCTACCAAGTCATTTGGTGCATTGTGAGCAAAATATGAGTGATGGGAATGCAAGAGCCATTTGGAAAAGGGCAATGGCACTGAAAAAATGAGAGGCAGTGTGAGGTAGTGGTTTGAGTGCTTGACTATGACTTGAGACCAGAGTTTGATTCCCAGCTTGGTCTCACTGGGAAACTCACTGGGTGACCTTGTGCAAGTCACATGCTCTCAGCCTCAGGGGAAGGAAATGGCAAAGCTTTGAACAAATCTTGCCAAGATAACCCCATGATAGGTTTGACTTAGGGTTGCCATAAGTTTGAAATGACTTGAAAGCACACAACAGCAACAAATGACATTGAAACTGAGATTTTCTCCCCATCTCCCTAGTCAGAGTTAAGTAATGCAAAGACTTGTTGACTGGAGTAAGGAAAAAGATGTGCATGTCCAAGATGCTCATTAACCCTGACATTGTGTGAAAATCAACCAGCTTTTGCAGGTTTTGTCAACTTTCCGTTTGGGTTAACCCCAGGTGCCGTTTGAAAATCTACCCACTTTTACAGGTTTTTTCCCCAGTTTAAATTCAGTTTCTGCATGGGAGTGTGGTAAACTCCTTAGGAATGTTACTTGAATCATAATCGGGTAAGGCACCAAAAGGCTCCCAGCCTATATTAACCAATTTACCATATGGTAGAGTACAACATCCATTTTTCACAATCTTACAAAAGGAAGTAACTGTCAGAGTGATGACATAAGATTTTGCTAAAGACAATAAATGCCATAGAGTTCATTATTCCTGATTTCCTGATGAAAATGTGGAAATAATGGATGAGTTCTGGTGTGGAACTTGGTTATAAACTGGCAGAAATGAAATTATTTCTGGCTGCCTCCCTCCCTCTTTCCCTGTCTCTTTCTTTCTACAAATTGTTTGACTGCTGTTGTTCACTTCAGGTAATTATAAGAAAATTCTCTAATAAATTTTTGAGAAAATTAACTGTCAGTCAGTTCTACTGAGAACTATAGCCTTTTATTAGCAGCATAACCATTATGGAGCAAGAAAGCAATAATTTACAATATCATATTTTTTGCTACCTCTGTAGGTTTTTCCTTCATATTGTGCTTCAAAGGCACATACCATTTCCTTACTTGTCTCTAATAAGTCTGGTCTAATGGTTTCACATGGTAAAAATGTCTCTGTTTTCATTTTCCCCCACTTTTTAAAATATTGATTCCCACCACCTACTTTCACACAAATGCATTTCATTGAATGAATGGCCCTGTTTCTATTAGGGTTGGGTGAATTTTTCCACACCGTCCATCTTTTGAAGCAACCCAATTTACACTTGCTAGTCTAATGCATGGATTGGAACACCATTACTCCAGAGAAAGCATGTACACACACACACACACCAATTCCATAGAATATAATAGCCAGAATCTTGATGCCTCATGTTTGTGTGCAGAAGTGGCTGAACATTTTTGTCTTGTGGAAGATCAGTTGAAGGTTGACGAAACTGTATTGTGGATTAATATATATAGAGATTTTGTAGCATCTTTATGACTAACTGAAGAAAAGAAAAGAAGTTTGTAGCATTAGCTTTCATAGACTTTAGTCTACTTCTTCTGATGCTTATGGTGGAGTGGAAGCCAGGGACATAGAGGAGTGCAGGAGTTTAACTGAAGAAAACTGAAAAGGAATGTTGGCTACTGCAGAACCAGTCAGCATGAGTAGAACCCATGAGCTTTAAAGGATATGTAGTTTTGCAAACTCCCCACACGCAGGTCCCCAGGAATGACTTCTCATTGCTTGCACTTGTTGAAAAAATAGATATCTGTCTGTATCTGTGCTGTCCTTTTCTTCTGCTGAGAGAGGAGATGGTACAATCTAGTCATTTCCAGTAGGTTTAGGTAAAAGGAAACTGCTGCAACATTTCCTAGTCTATGAGTTCTTCTTCATTAGTACAGTTGGCCCTCCATATTTATGAATGTTTATGCATGGACTGAACCATTTACAGCTTGAAAATATTTTTAAAATCTATGAATTCCAATAAGCAAACTTTGATTTTACCATTTCATATAAGGGACACCATTTCACTATGCCATTGTACTTAATGGGACTGGAGCATCCATGAATTTTGGTATCCATGGAGGGCCCTGGAACCAAACCCCAGTAGATACAGAGGTCCCACTGTAACATCCACCATGTTGACCACACTCTGATGCAGCTTGGCTTTTCATCTGTGAAATATTGGCTGGTATGTGATATCCTTTTTGAGGCAAATTGTTTTTAATCAGACAGGAAAAAGCTGTTCTGGATCAAGACATAACTCTAAGGAGCCACTCCCATCATCCCTCCTGTGAGTAAAGACTGATGGAACTTCTGAAGGGCCACAGTTCCACTAACTCAGCAGCCATCTCTTAATATTTAATGGAACAGAAAGGCTGAAATCAAGAGTGAATTCCAAACTTGTCTGAAATCAATTTTGGATTATTGTAGTACAGCTTCATTTCCCCCCCCCCTGCCTCTTTTGTAACACAATAGCAATCCTCAGTGGCTTCTTCCTCTGTCAGGCTTGTCCCATTGAGTTCCTTTTTACCGAATGATCTGCAGTATCCCTTTCCCCCACTGAGAGTGAACTTTTGTGGCCACATGAAATTGCTTCTTGAAGAAGAGCTCAGAGAAATGCCCTAGCCAATCCTTTTCTTTATACCAAAGCTAACAGCGTTAAGCTTTGCAAGTTAACCTCATTAATATTCTGAGCTCTTTCTGAACTTGCACATGGGATGCTTGGCATTACAGCGGAATTCAGTTCTGAAATAAAGAGGATGACTAAAGGGACATTGATCTTCATTTTATATGGGGGAGAAGGGAGAAAGAAATTTCTTAAGAGATCAGAGTTAAGAAAGCTTTTTTTGGGGGGGGGAACCATAAAAAGAAACTGTCACTGGCCTTGATGATGTCTGGCAACTTCTTGGAACTATCATTTTCAAAATGTAGCTTTTTTCAAGCTGAACGAGAGATGATAAAAAAGCTTTACAGTGCATAAAGCACAATGAGCATGCACACACAGTTTGGATCTGTGTCTAGTGACAAAACTTGTGCAACTGCAGTTTCCATAATCCCTCCCCATTTCCCTTTTTCCTGAGGGTGATGGGAATGGGAGTTTGACAGCCCCAGAAGGTTCTTGAATATTCTGAAATGATGTCTGATTTTTGTGAAATGTATACACTCTTTCAGTATTTTCAAGATGGCATGTTGCATGGAGTGGGGCTTAAAAAGAGAGGTTTCATCCTAATATATATATATTTTTATTAACAACCCAAATAAGATAAATGGACAGATTGGTAGTATGAATTTGTGGGATATATTCAGAATGAATTTTAACCACCAATCCAGCATCTCAATGGCCTTTTCCCATTCTATTTCATTCCCCAAGTCCCATGTTCATTCCAAGGTATGGGTTCCCCCCTCCTTCTAATCCTGGATAGATTTGTAAAGTAGATATACAATCTTCTTTCCTTTGTCTGCTTTCAAATGTGCTGTCAGGTGCAGGGAGTTTTGTTTAGTTTTACTCAGTTTTGTTATTGATGAATGCCTAAATCTGTTCTCAGCTCAATCAGAAATAAAGCTCCCATTGATTTACAATGAGGAGAACTGGATGACAGCTGCAATAAAATGGAATGTTTTTAACAATTTACTACTTCCGCAGCCCACTCTTTCTTCTTCCCTTTCTCTTAAGTGTAGTTTATGGTGACACTTAAGGGCTCCCAAATTCTGAAGGAGCACCTGACTACTAATGCACAGGGAGGGTTGTTCTTGAAACAAGTTTTATTAGATTCATAACACTGCCTTTGTTGAAGACCCCATTCAAGATACCCCAGGTGTTGAAATATATTGCTTTGCCTGCAACTTCTTTTCTGGGTTTGAAACTTGATCTTTCATAGGTCGGAGGAAACACTACTTAAAAAAAAAAGACAATAAAATGTGTAAAAGGTATTGCTCAGAAGGAATTACTTTCAGATTGAAGTTCCAAGAGTCTCTCAGCCAGAATGGCCAATGGCTATATATATAATTTTACCATGAACAATCTAATTTACAATCAAAGTAATATGCATTCAGAAAACAAAAAGACAGAAAGAAAATAAAAATAATGTAATAAAAAAAACCCTAATAGAAACATAGAGTTGCAAGAGACTCCAAGGGCCACCCAGTCCAATCTCCTTCCATGCAGGAAGGCACAATGAA